AGGGAGGGCTCTGGGGCCATCCTGGGGGGGCCATCCTGGGGGGACAATGGGGGAGACAGCGGGGACAATGGGAGGACAGATCCCACCCCGGTGTCCCGGGCACAGATCCCACCCCGGTGTCCCGGGCACAGATCCCATCCCGGTGTGGGCACAGATCCCCCCCCGGTGTCCCGGGCACAGATCCCACCCCGGTGTGGGCACAGATCCCACCCCGGTGTCTCCTTTCCCAGCTGGAAAAGGCTTCTGGGCCGAGGTGCTGGGGGTCGGAGATTTCTACTACGAGCTGGGGGTGCAGATCATCGAGGTGTGCCTGGCGCTGCGGCACCGCAACGGAGGTGGGCAGGCAGGGGACCAGCTGATCCGGGATCCGTCCCTGATCCCGGGGATCCATCCCTGATCCGGGATCCATCCCTGATCCAGGGATCCATCCCTGATCCGGGATCCGTCCCTGATCACCTGATCCATAATCCCTGATCCCAGCGTTCCACTGATCCCAGAGATCCATCATCCCTGATTCCATGGATCCACCATCCCCTGATCCCAGGGATCCATCACTGATCCCAGGGATCCATCCCTGATCTGGGGACCCATCACTGATCCAGGATCCATCCCTGATCACCTGATCCATCCCTGATCCCAGGGATTCATCCCTGATCTGGGATCCATCCCTGATCCCAGAGATCCATCCCTGATCCCAGAGATCCATCTGCCCTGGTCCCAGGGACCCCTGACGCCAGGGATCCCCCATTCCCTGATCCCAGAGATCCAGTCATGATCCCAGGGATCCGTTGTCCCCTGATCCCCGGGGATCCCAGGGATGCACCCCCAGTCCCATCACTCCGTGGGAAGAGGGAGCAATCCGAGGGATCCCAGCCTTCTCCAGAGGGTCGGGATTCCCAGCGGGGACGTTCTTCATCCCAAAAGGGCAACTCACCCTGGGAACGGGCCTGAGCTCCGTAAAACCCATAAACCCCATAAAAATCCCATAAAAATCCCCAAAAATCCCATAAAAATCCCAAAAAATCCCAGAAAACCCCAGTGTGGGGTCCGTGCTGCAGGGCTGATCACGCTGGAGGAGCTGCAGCAGCAGGTGCTCAAGGGCCGCGGGAAGTTCGCACAGGACGTCAGCGCGTGAGTGGGGTCGGGAATCCCGGGAATTCCTGAGGAATCAGTGCGTGGGTGGGGTCGGGAATTCTGGGAATTCCTCGGGAATCAGCGCGTGGGTGGGGTCGGGAATTCCTTGGGAATCAGCGCCTGGGTGGGGTCGGGAATCCCGGGAATTCCTGAGGAATCATCGCGTGGGTGGGGTCGGGAATTCCGGGAATTCCTCGGGAATCATTGTGTGGGTGGGGTCGGGAATTCCCTGGGAACCCCTCGGGGACCCCTCAGGAATTCCCCAGGAATCTCTCAGGAGCCCCTCGGGAATCAGCTCGTGAGTGCGGGGTTGGGAACCTCTTGGGAATCCCTCAGGAATCCCTCGGGAATTCCCTTGGGAACCCCTGGGGATCCGGGGCTGCAGGTTCCAGCTGTTCCAGCTGTTCCTGCCTGCGCTGGGCTGCTCAGCTGTGCCCTGCCTGCCACAGCTTCTCCCCCAAAAACCCAACCCCAGGATGAGTTTTCCCTAAAAACCCAACCCCGGGATGGTTTTTCCCTGAAAACCCAACCCCAGGATGAGTTTTCCCTAAAAACCCAACCCTGGGATGGTTTTTCCCTACAAATCCAACCCCAGGATGGTTTTTCCCTAAAAATCCAACACCTGGAAGGATTTTTTTCCCCTAAAAATCCAGCCCTGGGAGAATTTTCTCCCTAAAATCCAACCCCGGGATGTTTTTCCCCCACAAATCCAACCCCAGGATGGTTTTTCCCTAAAAACCAAGCCCAGTAGGATTTTTCCCTAAAATCCAAGCCCGGGAGGATTTTTCCCTTAAATCCAAGCCCAGTAGGATTTTTCCCTTAAATCCAACCCCGGGATATTTTTCCCTAAAATCCAAGCCCGGGAGGATTTTCCCACTGGAGCTGCGAGGAAGGGACGGGCCAGCCCCGACAGAAGCAGATTTTGAGTTCAAAACCCCCATTTTTGGGGCTGAGCCCCCAAGGCCGCCCGGCTGCCTCGGCGGGAGCGGTTCCCGGATTTTGGGGCAGCTCCCGGTGTCCCGGTGTCCCCAGGGATGACCTGCTGCGCGCCATCAAGAAGCTGAAGGTGCTGGGCAGCGGCTTCGGGATCATCCCCGTGGGGGGAACGTGCCTGGTGCAGTCGGTGCCGGCCGAGCTGAACATGGACCACACGGTGGTGCTGCAGCTGGCCGAGGTGGGAATGCTGGGAATGATGGGAATGATGGGAATTATGGGAATGATGGGAATGGGAATGATGGGAATGATGGGATTGGGAATGGGACCTGGCTGAACATGGACCACACAGTGGTGCTGCAGCTGGCCGAGGTGGGAATGATGGGAATGATGGGATTGGGAATGATGGGTATGAGGGGAATGCTGGGAATGATGGGAATGATGGGAATGATGGGATTGGGAATGGGAATGATGGGAATGATGGGATTGGGAATGGGACCTGGCTGAACATGGACCACACGGTGGTGCTGCAGCTGGCCGAGGTGGGAACGCTGGGAATGGGATTGGGAATGGGAATGGCACCTGGAGTGGGGATGGGGATTGGGGAACTGCTGGGATTGACACCTGGGAATGGGAATTACTGGGAGTGACACCTGGAAGAGGGCTGGGAGTGAGGAACTGCTGATCCAGGACTGGGAACTGGGATTGGATCCGGCTCGTGGGCAAAGCTGCCAAAGTGTGGATTTAAACCTGGATGAAAAAGAGCCAGAAAATCTGGGTGTTTCCATAAAAAACCGGGATTGGGCCGGGCTGGGATGGGGCCGAAGGGTCCCTGCGCTGCTGGGCCCTGGACTGAAGCCCAGACGGATTTTTCCTGGTTTTTCCCAGAAAAAAGGATTTGTGACAGTCAGCGAGATCCGGGAGAGCCTCAAGTGGGAGACGGAGAGAGCGAAGCAGGTGCTGGTAGGTGGGGATGGGAAACTGGGAAACTGGGAATGGGGAACTGGGAATGGGGAACTGGGAATGGGGATGGGAAAGTGGGAATGGGAATGGGAAAGTGGGGATGGGATGGGGATGGGAGCAGCAACGGCAACTCAGCACATCCCACAGTCATTCCCAGCCCGTTCCCAATCCCGTTTTTCCCGTTTTCCCAGGACCACCTGCTGAAGGAGGGCATGGCCTGGCTGGACGCGCAGGCTCCGGCCGAGCCGCAGTTCTGGCTGCCCGCGCTCTTCTCCGAGCTGCACGGCCAGGACGGCGCGGCCGGGCCCTGAGTGCCCCGGGAGCCCCCGGAATCCCGCCTGGAATCCTCGGAATCCCGCCTGGAATCCCTCCCTGGATCCTCGGGAATCCCCCCTGGAATCCTGGCTGGAATCCCCTCCTGGAGTCCTCAGGATCCCACCCCTGGAATCCTCGGAATCCCGCCTGGAATCCTGGCTGGAATCCCTCCAGGGATCCTCAGGAATCCCTCCCAGAATCCCCAGGAATTCCTCTTGGAATCCTTCCTGGAGTCCTTGGAATCCTGGCTGGAATCCCCGGGAATCCCTCCGGGAATCCTCAGGATCCCTCCTGTCCCCGCAATCCCAGGGACAGCAGGACTGGGAATAAAAGTTTTGTAAGAAATTCCTGATTTTGGGAGGTTCTGTGGGATCGACCCCCGCTGGAATCACCGCCTGCTTTTGGGTGGAAATGCCCCAGATTAGGGAAAAACAGGAAAAGGAGCTGAGGGCGGAGTCTTGGAGGATGCCAGCGGGGTTTGCAGCGGGAAATGGGATTTGCCTCTGGAATTTTGGCTCCCAGCAGTGGGAAAACTGCCCTGGGAAATCGTTATTCCATAAGAATTCCCACTAAGGAACACCAGAGGCTCCGTTCTGCCAAAACAAAACTTTATTGCACAAAGGAAAAACCAAAAAAAAAACCCAAAAAAAGGAAACACACCCCCCAAAAAATAAACCCAAACCAAAAAAAGAACGGAAATCTTCTGTACAACAGAAACCACCGGGGGTCTCCGAGCGGGAATTTTTTGTTTCCAGCTGTTCCAGCCTCTAAAATTCCGTTTGCTAAAAGGTCTGTGCCTGCAGCAGTGGCTGGAGGATTGTCCCTGCAGCTGGGACAGCCCCAGGGGACGCGGGCGATTCCCAGCCCTGGAAAAGCTGGAAAAGCCCCCGGGTGACGGAGGTGACAAAGTGACAGAGGGGAGGTGGCAGCTCGGCCTCCCCTCAAGGGTTAAACCCGAACCGGCCCCAGGATTTGGGTGAAGAAAGGGGAAACAATTCCCGAGGTTTTTGGGAAAAGCACAGAAATTCCCCATTTTCCACCTGGGAAATTCCGCATTTCCTACCTGGGAAATTCCCATTTTCCACCTGGGCAATTTCCCCATTTCCCACCAGGAAAATTCCCATTTCCTACCAGGGAAATTCCCATTTCCCACCAGGGAAATTTCCCCATTTCCCACCAGGAATCCCCATTTCCTACCAGGAAAATTCCCCATTTCCCACCAGGAATCCCCATTTCCCACCTTCCTGCTGCAATCCCCAGTCCCTCGGGATGCGGATCCAGGCTGGGAAGAGCTCCCAGCTCCAGCAGGATCCGATCTGGGGCCAGCCTGGTGGGGACATTCCGTGTCCCTGCTCCAGGGGGAATTGTCACCTCCAGCCCGGGGTGGCACTGCCACCTCTCGGTGTCACCCACAGCACAGCCCCCGCTCTCAGCGCTCCCAAAACCGCAGGATTTTACAAGGTTTGGCAAAGAGTTTGTCCCCGAGTCCAGCAGGGATTGTCCCTCCCTCCGGCGTCTCCGTGGGGCGGCAGCGGGGAGGGAGGGGACAGGGAAGGTGACACCGCCCCGAGGTGGGACACAGAGGATTCCAGGTGAGGAAAGAACAGCTCCACCAGAACAAAAACCCCTCCTCAAAGGCTCAAGTGAGAATCAGGAATCAACAAACTGATCTGTGAGCGCTGCCCTCCTCCCTGAGCCACGCACTGCTCCTCAGCCTCCCTTCCCCAAACCTCCAGGGTGAACAAATCCACGGATTCCTGCAGTTCCCACTTTCCACATGAAGTCTCCAAAGTGCCCCAGGGCTCGAGTAAAGCTTTGGGGATGGAGCCCCAATTCCAGCAGTGAGAATTCCTTTATCTTTGGTCTGCCTAGAAGAAAGACACCAGGGAGGCCCCAGCTCTCCCAAATTCCAGCTGGACACACCCTGGGTTATCCAAGCTCTCCCACAGCTCCAGGGAAGGGCTCCCTCCCTACCCAGGAGCAGAAAAGCTCTCGAGGATTTGCAGTCTAGAGCTCATTCTTTAATCCCCCGGAGGAAAAAAAAAAAAAAAAAACCTGGAAAAAAACCAAAAAAAAAAAAAAAAAAAAAAAAAACCCCAAAAAAAAAAAAAATCCCCAACCAGTGTAGGCGTTCTCCAAAAAAACCCCAAAAAACAACCTGATGCCACATGCCAGGAAGTACCTTTGTCCAAGAGGAGCCTGTCCCGAGCTGGGCTTTGTCTCTTTTTTGGGAATTCTCCTCGGGGAATCCTCGGGGAACTCTCCTGGCGGTCGGGGAGGGAGGGAGGGAGGGAGGGAGGAGCGCGGCTCTCCCCGCCCCGGCCTGGCTGTGCTGCAGTCCCGGGCCGGGCCGGGCCCTGCTAGGCCTTGGGGCAGCCCTGGGGCTCGGGCTCGGGCTCCGAGGAGCTGCTCTCCGAGTCCATGTCGGCGCTGTCCTGCTGCTGCCGCTCCTGCAGCCGCGCCCGCAGCGCCTGCAGCCGCCCCAGCAGCGCCTGGTAGTCGAAGTGGCCGCGCTTCTCCCCAAAAGGGTCCTGGGGAAAGGAGGAACGGGGGTCAGGGGGCTCCAGGAGAGGGGTGGGCTGGGAACGCCGAGAGGTGCACAGGGAAACGGCAGCCTGGGCGGAGGGGGTCTGGAATTGCACTGGGGAGGGTCCTGGAACTGCACTGGGGAGGGTCTGGAATTGCACTGGGGAGATCCTGGAATTACACTGGGGAGGGTCTGGAATTGCACTGGGGAGGGTCCTGGAACTGCACTGGGGAGGGTCCTGGAATTCCACTGCGGAGGGTCCTGGAACTGCACTGGGGAGGGTCCTGGAATTCCCATGGACAGGATCCTGGAACTGCACTGGGGAGGATCCTGAAATTCCACTGGGAAGGATCCTGGAATTCCACTGGGGAGGGTCCTGGAACTGCACTGGGAGGATCCTGGAATTCTCACTGGAGAGGATCCTGAAATTCCCCTGGAGAAGATCCTGGAATTACGCCTGGAGAGGATCCTGGAATTCCACTGGGAAGGATCCTGAAATTCCCCCTGGACAGGATCCTTGAACTCCCCCTGGTGCTGCACATCTGTCCAGGCTCAGCCCCAGGCCCAGCTGTGCCCCTGCCCTGTCCCTGTCCTGTCCCTGCCCTGTCCCTGCCCTGTCCCAGCCCTGCCCCTGCCCTGTCCCTGCCCTGTCCCAGCCCTGCCCCTGCCCTGTCCCTGTCCTGTCCCAGCCCTGTCTCCAGCTGTCCCCACCCTGTCCCCGCCCTGTGTCCCCTCACCTGCATGGTCTGGCCCTGCAGGTGCAGCCTCTCCTTGCACACGCCCTCGTAGAAGTCCAGGTACTCCATGAAGGATTTCTCCATCACGCCGCTGGGGACAGAGGGGACATGGTCACCACGGCCCGTGGGGACACGGCTGTGCCACCCCGCTCCTGCTGGCACGGCCTGGCTGTCCCCTGGGGCTGCGGGGAGGGGACACAGGGGACAGAGACGGGGAGGGGACAGAGGGGACAGAGACAGGGAGGGGACAGAGCCCAGGGGACCCGGCCACAGCAGCTGCGCTCCCCTCCCTCCTCCCAGGAATTTTCTGGGAATGTTTTCCCCCAGAGCTCATCCTGCACATTCCCTGCACAGGCCCCGCTGCCGGGAATTCGGGAATGACGGCTGGGAATGGATCCTGCTGCCCCCAGCCCCTGGTGTCCCCAGCCCCCCCGGTGTCCCCAGCCCCCGGTGTCCCCAG